CATAGACTATATCGATATAAAGGATATTGTCACATCTTATATCTCGTATAAAAATATATCGATATTTTTTAAAAACTCGATATATCGCCCAGCTCTAGTGCCTGGTATGTTTGTGCATTCGTTAGATCATTGTTTATATGCAAAGATTTGCAGACCCATGCTTACATGTAGCTGTCTTGTGTCACTAGTGGGCATTTCAAAAATAAATGTAACAATCATCAGTGTGAGCGACTCTTGTTTGTGTCACTGCTGTTGCTTTAACCTAACCTGCCACAGAGAAGAGATTTATTATGGTTTTCCTGCTCAAAACTGTCCAATATGGCTGAATTAAAACTCAAAGGAAGAGTAGGCCAATAATGAATAATGTGAAAGACTCATTGCCAGTTATCACACATGATTCATTTCAGTTCTTGCTGCCAGTGGTGACACAACCAGTTCTAAATCATTTCTCACATGGTGATAGAGATTAATACACAGACACCAGACTGATACCAAAACCCAAACTTTTCTGGGTAATTTTAATTTTCATTGACCAAAGGTTAGAGATAAGTCCTTTGCTTGCCTGTGTATTTATAACCATAACCCTGGCTGCTCTGTCTTTCGATTACTCTTTCGCTGAACACAACTATGAAACTAGCTCGCGTTTGGGGAAAGCTATATTTTTCATTTCCTGGGTGTGTAAGTGTGATTACACGTGACAGCCATATTTACAAAATTAAAAGTATAGTTGTGTTGATTTTAGAAGGGAAAGAAACTGATTCCTTTGCAGAATAATTATTAACTGACTTCATTTCAAAGAAAACAGTTATGTTTCAGACACATGTGGGAAATGTTTACACTTTTTCTTTCTGTTAATGTGTTTGTTTGTTTTTCTCAAATTTGATGTTAAAATAAAACAAGTGATGGACTGTTAATTTTAGTATTATTAAGTATTGGGACAGTCATAGAGTTTTTGTGATGTTGCCTCTGTACCACCACCACAGCGGATTTTAGATTAAACAGTGAAGACTGAAGTGCAGAGTTTCAGCGTCATTTCAAAGAGTTAAACCAAAAGTATTGCATCAACTGCAGAGGAGTTGTAGACTGTTGTTGTGATTTGGCACTATGGAAGTAAAGTTGAACTGTAGTCCTCGATTTTCAGAGGACAAAACAAGATTTTAAAAGTAAGCGCCCGATCACCAAATGTGGCATTTCTTTCCTTGAGACCTTTGAAATGAGGCCTTCACTGCTACCATGCTCAGTTGCTCCTTATTTGTGAGTCTCTTTGCCTTCAGTAACTGAAAAGGGAGTTTTAGACATTGACTTTATCTGTCCCTCACTGGGGAAAGTCACTTGTTAGTAGTACAGTAAGGTTCAGGAAGAAAAAAGTGAAATGGACCTATATTAGAAAAATAAATAGGAAATTTAAATCAATTTTAAAAAACAAACAAAAAAAGCCAAAAAGGTTACCAAAAGATAAACGGATATATATAATATATATATTTATATGTACAGTGTGTAGATATTCCCTGTGTGGGAGTTGTGCAGTCTGACTGCTGTAGGGATGAAGGATTTGCAATAGTGCTCCATCCCACACAGTAGCTACAGCAATGATTTATCATGATTTATTATAATTTCACACTGGAAATTATAATACAGTTTTACTAGTGCTGTCAGCGTTAATCTCTTTAAAATGACGTTAACGCCATAACGGCATTAACGCGGCATACCTAAACGCGGTTAGCTTGTTAGCACGTTTGCACGTTGACGCCGTGCAGCCCCACGCACGGGCGATCCGTGGTAACTCGCTAACGGAGATTTGCCACGTTAATGCTGTTATGGCGTTAACGTCATTTTAATGAGATTAACGCTGACAGAACTAATTTCTACTGCATTTTTTTTTTTTTTCGATGTTTCGTTTTAATGCACAACTAATGCAAGTGCATTTTCCACTAAAAAAAGACCTGAGACATATCACGGAGCGGCTTGTGACTAAAATATATGACAACATTAGGACAATGCAGTCTCCAGTTTTTGAACTAAAAGAATGATAACACAAGAGCAGCACTGATGACACTGTCGATTACTAAAATATTAAATAGCTGCAGCTATTTAGGGATTTCCATTAGGTGGTAGTACCATGTACTTTTTTTTTCAAGAGTAACTCAAGTCACTGTTCTGAGAAACTCTTGGGTTGCTTTTGCACTACGCTTTAGGTCAGTAATTCTCTTGGCAGCTATACATGCCAGTGTCAACATTGTCTCCACCATTTTTGACAGATGATGTGGTATGCTTCTTTTCTCTCCATTTCATGCTTTTGTCTCCCCATAAACCTGGTTGAAATTAATTTTGATTTCCAAGATTTCAGATTTTCGTTTTTCTTCAGAACTGTGAAGGATTTTTTAGATGTTTAGTTGTCAGTGTTTTTGTTGAAAAACTGTTGTCAGACTTTTTATTTACATGTTGCTCCTCAATACAGTTTTACAGTTCTATTGCAGGTCTGTTCTTACTTGCAAATCTGGGTGAATTGCTTGTGTTGCCATCGTTTAGAACATCAGCGTGTTATAGAGCTGCGCGTTAAATGAATCATCAAACCAAAATATTTGTGTAGGATTTTTTTTTAATAATTGAATTATTCATATAACTAGATGAATTGTTGTCATGCCTTTTACTGTTCTGATAAATAATTGTGTTTATTGCGCCCAGTTTCAAAGAACTGACAGGTTAAATGCCCAGGTGTTTCTTGTTGCATTGGTTCCTTACTCATGTACCTGCAGTGTAGGTCAATAGTTGCAGACTGGTTCTTGGTCATCATGTTAATTAATTGTTAATTAATTTTTAATTGTGAATCACAAGAGGCTCATTTTGGGGTCATATTTAAGGCCAAAAAAGAAGCACTATGAGTCATAGCACAAGAAACTGATTTGTACAATGTGTGGAAAATTGTACAGAAAGAGAGACATGTCACCAACAAAAAAGGACTACATCCAATGAAAGAAAGTCTGTGTAGTTTCTGGAAAGCAGAGTACCTGGAGATCTGCATTTTATAGAGAGAGGCTGATCTTGTATCTTTGCACAGGAAGCTGTGGGTTGATAGAAGTCTGTCTCTCTGGTTCTAAATAAATCCGATGCAGCTAAAGCTGCTTTGCTGCATCAGCTATCAACAGAAGTTAAAGCAGCCTAGAACAGGGGAGTATTCCCTGTATGTAACTTGAAAGAATCAAGATAAACATAATAATA